GGGGGGTGCTGATGAGTAGACGGTCAAGTCCACCTCCCCTTGTCGGCTGGTCTTTTGTCCTAACCCTTGGTCCCCGCGCCACAAACTACTAAATACAAAAGGGGGGCTTCGGTCAGTATTCGAACTTCGAACCGAGAACCATCCGCGCGTCCCGGGCGCGCGCTCCACCAACTGAGCCAATGATGACGCTTTTGAATAGGTGAAGCTCATCTCCGCTGTGTTTCTCATCCCGAAACATATGGCTGACAGAGGGGCAAAAGGGTTCAGTCGACTAGATTCGAACCAGCGACTGTTTGCGTACCGGCCCAGCACATCAGGTGTCCAACTGCTGTAAAGTCATTACCAGCGGAGCGCGAAAATCATCACCCGGCCGTGACTCGAACCAGCGACCAGGTTCATACCGGGCCCGGACGCTACCGACTTGGCCACGACGGAACGATACAGAGCACTACTTTCAGCGGATCTTGATCGAAGCTGTGACGACGCCCGAAGACACTGACACTCTTGGCCAGCAGAGGAAAAATGACGGCGGGTGGGAGTCGAACTATCGACCACCCGCACGATCTGCCAACGATCGCGCTTTAACACGCTCGGCTATCAGCTTGCTCCTACCAGGTGTCCGGAACAATACGCGGCAGCTGGATGGGTGGCCTACGCACTGGCTCGCAGGCGCTGGGGGTGAGGGGGAGCGGTCGCAGTTCTGCAAAGGTGTGCTTCGCGGTTCCGCGAGGGTGCGTCGCGGACCCGCGAGGGTGCGTCGCGGATCCGCGAGGTGTGGCTCGCGGTCCCGCAAGGCGCGGGGCCGCAGCGCACCCCTCGCGTGTTCACCCTTACTTTTCTCCCCCCCTCCTCCGTTCGTCAGTGTTCGGAGCATTGCCTTACCCCACCCCCACCCCTTCGCAAGTTGCCACCTCCAACCGCTCCCCCCTCGCCCCCAGCGCCTGCGAGCCAGTGCGTAGGCCACCCATCCAGCTGCCGCATATTGTTCCGGACACTCGGTACGGGGCCGAGGTTTGAGCACGGTCATGCCTAACGGGAGACAAAAAGCGACAAAGAAAAACTTTGCCCCGCTCGGGAGTTGATCTTAGGTCCGACAATTTTGGTTCGGATGAAGCTGCATGCGGTCATGTCGACTACTGTAGCTACAACTGTTTAACTACAAACGGACATCGTATGTTGCCCGATTTGTGACCATATTTTTGTGTCCGCATGGACAGGGACGTGTCTGTCTTGTCCACTTGTCGTCGAGACACGAGTTGTCGCTTGGACGCCTGCGAGGTAGGCCACGCCTTCTCTCTAAAGCGTCTGTTGTGACGGGGACTTTGGGTTTAGGCTCCTTTTGACTCCAGGCTCATAAATCCTTTCTAAAGCTAAGAAGTGACGCCGTGTCAATCTAGGCGTGGGTCGATGATTGTCGCTGAAAACGCCTGGAGGGTAGGCAACGTTTTCGTGAATCGGGCCCCCGCGGCCCCCTCTGTCCCTCCGAGCGCTTGGACAAGGCGAGAGCAGAGCTTCGGAGAGGCATTGATATCTTTCGTTTTCACTTTAGTTCTTAGCGCCGTTTTCTGGTTGATATTCTAGCATTGGAGGAAGTGATGAATTCGTCTATAGACGGTTCAGTTTAAGCTGACTCGGGCACTGTTGGCTGCAGCTACAATCGTGTAGCTACAAACAGGGACGTTGGTGTCATGTGCACCACTCCCCGTCCAGTCCCGACAAAAAATAGGGGGGGGGGGATTTACGGATTACTTCGGTGAGCATGGTGAGCGGAACGGGAGCAGCCGTTTCCAACCGTTCCAATCACGCGGACGTAATTTCTGGATCATCATTGACCTAAAACCACACCCAAACTATTGTGTTGTGAAAGTAAGTCTCTTAATTAAGCAGTAGACTGCTTCAAACTTTCGCGCGTTTTAATTTTGTAGTTATGAGTTTCGCCGTGCGTCGCGCTAGCAGTAACGCTAGCAGACAGAACTCGTCTCCGACGCACGACGCCATTACTATCCAGCCTAGTTGATAAGTCTCGTTTGGTCACCGAGTACCTTCTATCTACCACAATGAGTAAGATCGTGCAGGTATGTATTTAACTTTCTATTATCCTGCAGGAGTTAACCCTCAGTTTGAGACGTTGATACCTTTGTGACCCTAAATATTTGGGTTTAAAAACTCTCTTTAATATACCTAACCTTCAGAAGTTCGAGGTCTGCTTTCTTTAGTTTTAACTTTTAAATCTAAGTAACAAGCCGTGACCGATTTTCTTTCGGCAATCCATTACTTACTCTTGACGGTTATCTCTGGTACAATCTGGTGTCACGATCCCCGTTGTATCCTCTAACATTCCATAACCTTTATGTACCACTGCGCTAGGGGTCAGTGGAGATAACTATTACGTCCACCAGAGTGCAATCCATTACCCATTTTCTAAGCAGCACCGGCTGTGTAGGGTTCTGTTGAATGTTCCGATATGTATATGGGTTTGAGTTTGTTTAAAGTGGTCCATGAGGTAAATTTTTTATTGTAAATCCTTTCCCAATTTACTTGACCTTAAACGTCGAAAGTAGGGATATAAACTTGAATAGTTTGTCAACAGAGGAGTGATATTGACTTTTCTTTTGGCAGAGGGGTGCTTCAGCTGCAATGCGAGTACGTTCCATGAGCTCGCTCCCTGAGAAGAAGCTTACACCAGAGCAGATGGCAGATTGGGGGCGTAAAGTCAATCCAGCTCAAACTGAGTTTGGACCTAAGCCCGAAAACTTGGAGAAGTGGCAGAAATTTTTCCAGGTAATTTAAATTTATCTACAGAAACTGTAAAAGAAACATGTGAGATAAATTTTAAGGGCCAATGGGAGCTGGTTACTTGTGGCTTACTAATAAGTGAAATTCTCAAGAAGAGGTCTAGAGAATCTTCAACTTGTGATTGACTTAGCCTTAAGAAGCAATGAAAAGTAAAGTGTGTTGTTGATTGCTCTTTGCTTTTGCAATTGTAGAACAATTTTGAAGTGGTATATTCCCTTATCAATGTATCATTTTGGTTTGAACAATGCGCCAGATGGAGCAAGTGTGTTCCCACCCGCTGGAGTGAATTGAAGTCCTGCGTTGTTTGATAATTTATCAACTGTTTCTGATTTGTTTTAGGATCCTCTCAACTGTGAAAAGCCCGTTTTTGCCAGGAAAGGTGCCTCCGATGAAATTATAGTATCAGTTATAACTGCTATTGTTGCTGGCGGATTCATCTATAACTGTTATGACTTTATTGCCAACTAAAGATTCCTGAATGTAGTATTTAAATAAACACTTACCTTTAAAAATATCTTATTTCTTGGTTGCTGTCATGTTTTTCATGAATTATGAACACTGATGTGTATAATGAAAATTAAACAATTCAAAATTACAAAGCTGTAATGTATTTAATTATCTATCTCAAGTTAAAACAAATATCGTTCTTGTTGGTAAAATAAAATTAGTCATCAGTCTTGTTTTTTTACATATATTTCTTGTGCCTAGGACTGAAGATCTTATATTCCACAGCTCCACACTGATGGATACTTGGGCATACTTCATACATCATACCTAAATGAGCTGAACTTTAAAACCTCTAATCTGATAATGCAATTTAAATGAATGTTGCTCATTCAAGAAAGTTAGAACTGATCCACTGATGATCCTACATCTATGACAGCAAAGCCCTTCTTCTTAAAGTGAAAACGTATAAGGAAACAATCTTGAACTATCATAGTCTCCTTCAGCCACACTACTGAGATCTCCACAAAAAGAAAAGAAAGGAAAAACAAAAACCTCAAGAATGTTGAGGTTCGTAGACTAGTTGCACACACACACAAACCACAACTGACAAAATGCTCTTACTTTAATTAAAATTGGTATTATCAATTACATTTTATTCATTTCCATTTTTTGAGAGACTGGAGGTGACCTCTTTCTCTTCATTTTGATTTTCTGTTGAAAGAGAAATCTCTTCTGTGTGGCCAGTGATAGACGATAAAACCAAATATGAAGATGATTGTCTTACATTTTCTGACTCCAACACCGGAGAGAGAGAAAGAGATGACTGTTCACTAGAAACCGCCCCCACGGTTGGTTCAGATTTTAAATTTGGACCATCCTCAGGGAGAGAGTTGCTTGCTTGGAAATCTGAGTAGCCTGATTCATTCTCTCTAAAATTCTTTGATCTAAGCTGATCGACCTGAATGGTATTAGAGGCTCTGCTTTCTTCTATAAATGAACCATCAATTTTTAACTTAGTATTAGACGGTGTTCCCTGTATTTTCATGCTGGACAATGACTTTGATTGACTAGTTGAAGAAAATGTCATCACTGGGTTGGGCAGAGGGCTCTTCGTCTTAGGTTGAGCATCTTTCACTGATGTGGGAGCCAATGTTTGACTTGGGATTGCTGGTAAATAAGTTGCAGCTTCATTTTCTAAATGCAAATCCATAGATGATACAGAGGACAAGTCTGTTGAAGATTCAAGCAAATGATCAGGTGTTGATGTTGTAGTGAACAGGGCTTGGTTCTCCAAGGTAACAGTACCCAATGTTGTTGGCTTGTTTGTAGAGTAGGATTCAGAGTCAAGGGCTTGATTCGTCAAAGAGATAGTCATTTCTTGCATCAAAGGAATATTATCTTTAGAAGGTTGAGGCACAAATTCTGCAACTAGTTCACCATTGGTTTCTACTGTCTTGTCTGTTCCCACAATTTTTCTTGTTTTCAAAATTTCATGTTGTTTCTCTTTAGTTATCTCTACTGTCATTTCATGCAGGTTATTTGACTCTACATAAGAATCAATGCTTTCAGTTTCTTCAGTTACTTGACTTTTAACAGGTGATTTTATGTCTCCCATAAATTGGTCATTATCCAAATGAATATCATCAAAGGAATCCACTGAGTCTGGTGTTTTACTGATACTTTTTGAAAGTTTAGCAAATTTCTTTTCCGCTAATAAAATATCAAGTTTTCCTTTCATTGGTTTCAACTTTTTCTTTAAACGCTCTTCTTCTTCCCTCTCCTCCCGTATCAAAGCTTTTATCTTCTCTCTCACATTGAACTCTTGTTGGGATTCATCATTACCTCCTACATTCCATCTGCCATCTTCTATTATTTTTTGTTCAACCTCTTCAAGTGCCTCAAGGAAGTCATCTTGTTTGTTTTTCTGTGCCTCCTGCCAGTCTATTTCTTCCTCACTTTCAACAACAGAATCCTTCATTGATTCTGTGGATGTTGTCTTTTCTTTAGGTGGCCTTTCCATTTCTAGACCCACATTATCTTGTGTAGACTTAATATCACCTTCATCAACTAGCATTCTTTTCATTAACGGTTTTTCAAAACCTACTTTACGTTTTCTTCTTTTAACAGGAGATTTGTTTGATTTATTATCTTTTTCATTGAGCTCTTTGTCTCTCTGATACACAAGCTCTAACATTTCTTCCAATTCATCCTCAGGTTTTAGATCAGAAAATTCTTGAAGTAAATCTTCTTTATTTACTACTTCTTCTTCCATAAGTACTTTAGAACTTTCATCCTCTTCCTCATCAGTAAACGCTGCTTCAAAGAGTTTTTCAAATTCCCTCTTTCTTCTTAGAGTGAAAAGTGAAGGTTTAGTTTTGATTCGGATAGGAATGAAAGAGTTGTAATTAAAAGTGATATGAGAAAAAGAATCTACAACATCAATTATTTCATGTGTTCGCATGTAAGGTTTGAGATTGGGAGAGTATTTGCTTCGACCTTCAAGTAGTAAATGTGTAAAGACAAACATTTCAGGACTTCCTGCTTTCAAGTTTTCAGTCTTATTGTAACTGTAAAAAATCAGTTTCAGATGAGTCAAAATCTTACTTTTAAAAAAATTAGAAAAAACCTTTGAAAAATTTGTAAACTTACGTCCATCCCAAATTATCTTGTGTAAACCTAGAGACTCCTGTTTGTGCAGCTAGATTATCTATATGGACGTTTACATATGCACTTGATTGTTCTATTTTGTGCAGATTGGCAAGGGCCACACCACCAGGATAATTATGGGTTGCAATTGATAAAAGCAGGATGGAGAATAAACTATTAAGTACAAGGTGACCCACAGCTCCTAGTGCAAGAAACACATGAAGAGGGCTTTGTGCCCTAGCCTCCCATCTGAAATGGAAAAGAAAATAACAAAAGTGTAGAAATAGAGTGCAAAAATAAAAATAAAGTAGAGTTCAGTCCTACAGACAGACAAATAATACAATTATATAGATAGATTTACTTACAATCTACTACAACCAGCTGCTGAAACCACATTTAATAAAGGGAAGACATAGATAATGAATCTTAATTCTTTGTGTGGAAGGAAAGAGTATAAAAATACAAACAAAACAGCGGGCACCAAAATTCTACGAGCCCTGTAGTCTAATATAGCTCCCAGAGGCACGAGGAAAAATGTTAATCCCAAACCTCGAGGGAGGGCTGAGTAGAAATACCAGAGAAAGGGTGATGTCTGTCGTAATGTAAAGGAAATTATCAGTATTATTTTTGATTCAAGTACAACAAAATTATTTCCAACAGCTGTACATTGGTGGTACATCTGCACTTATAAAATGGGTTAGAATAAAGATTACAAAAAGGATACGCCATATTCATGACTACGATTTAAAACAATATTAAACCACAAGACTTCCCCTTCAGGCCAAAGTAGTCTTCCCCAGTAAACTGAGTCAATCAATACAGTAAGGATGAGTAACACAATTCCAGCAGGAGCAGCTACTCTGAAAAGTCTTTGAAGGACACAGTAAAAAAATTAATTCCATAGTGTAATGGGAAAGATTATAATAAAGGATGTGTTGTGGTACTCACTTTGGAATGGTGATATGACGATAAATAAGCTCCAAAAACAATATAAGACCCAAGAAAAGGGCTAATTCACCACGAAAAATAATTATTGCAGCAGCTGATGCTATTATGAAAACAGAGTACCGACGACGGAGCCATCCAGTTAAGGCCAGCAGCACTGATTCAGGTTCAGAATTGAAAAAAAACAAACAGTTTATGCGTGTTTATCATGTTAGTTCATTGAAAATGAACTATTTAACCTGAGGCTTACCTACTGGAAGTGCCAAAGTATTTGGTAGTGGTCTACTAAGGTAGAACATGAAATGATACTGTGTCAGCGTTATGGTGACAAACCATGCTGCTACTTGAGCACCAAAAACAAACTCCACTGATTTACGGAAGAGATGATAGGAGCCCAAAACACACATGCCCAGCACTGCACGCACTGCACAAAAACATAATTGATTCGGTTCAAACATATATTAATTACAGAGAAACACACCTGTAATGACTCGCATACAGCATATTTCCGACTTCTATCGGATTTGCCACCAATCCCTTGGTTATTTATTATTTTGATTGCTATCCTTGTCTATCCAACCTCCCCCCAGTCCCAATTGGGATTGGATTCCCACGAATAACAAATTTTACCAACAGCCCCCTCAAATAAATTTAATGTGGCCTTCAGTGAATGTGATACTTAATAGTCTATAAAACTCACCAAGATATTGAGTCCATATCTTGCTACAGCCAAGCAACTGAAGTATCAAATATCCTGGAGATGCAAGTGAGCACACAAACATTGGGCCCAAGAACGTTCTTGGTACCACACCAGGGAACTCCAAGTGATCATACTGAAGGAAATCCCACAAAAAAAAAAGAAAAATTAAAAGAAATAAAAAAATATTTTTAACACATTTGTATTAGATAATTCCAGTTATGAATGAATGTAACTACAAACCTGCGTAAGGTTCAGACGATGGTAAAGAATATCATGCATTGCTTGGAGGTTGAAACTTTCCTCTACTTTTGTAAATGGACAACATAGTAGATGGATTGCTGCAACTATTGGTAGTAGGTAGTCTATTTTCATAGCCATCTAGAAACAAAAGACGACAAAATATATAGAATTATGATTTCTACAAATTATATTTTTTCTCTTAAAACACCTGAAATGCAACTTCACTATAAGAATCAAAGGAAAGTACCAAATCGTGACAAAATTCAAGACAGAAAATTTAACAATGTATTCAACAAATTTCTTTATTATTTATAGATCTGTGTATAGTGGACGGTTCAATAACTTCATAAACTGATAGTATTTGGTTTTGTTATATTTCGAGGTAAAGGCTCGATAACAGCCTTTTTAAAAATAACTGTAAAGCTTGTTATTATTAAAATTTTAAACTGTTGCATCGGTAACTAACCATGCCACTACATACCATAGACATGAAACCGACAAGCCATTAAACACTGAAGGTGTGCTTTTAGTGCTTGTCAATACACCGAGAGGATATATTATTCGTCATCAATCAATACGTGGTGCACGCCACTTAACAAGCATCCTGCCGACGTTGTGTTTGTTCGAGTTTCGTATTCTTTTTAGCGAAGTTTTACATTTGTAACATGATTACGGAGGCCAGCGCCAGCGCGGAGTACGGGAGACACCGAGGCCGAAATAGCAGACGACGTCGACATGACCCTTTCCCTGGCAGAGAGGCCACTAATAATAATGAATGCGTGCTTTACTTCCTAGCTTTTCATTCTTGTTTGCCAATAAATTAAAAATAATTGTTGAAGATAATAAAAAACTTTCTAGGAAATTGGAAATTTTATTCACAGGTTCATAGGTGTATAAAGATGTGAATTGCATCTCTTCCTGACTTCGCGTATTGCTACTGGTTGTTGTTTTTGTTTTGGTGCTGCTAGTTGTCTTGTTTATCGGCCTATTTCATAACCTAAGTTCTTTCGCAGTTTTATCGACTAGCATATTTAATCTTTTCAATATGCTATCCTTGTCCGATGAGCATAAGGGTCACTTGACTCCTCTATTCGGCCAACCTCCTCAACGTGAGACAACTGGCATAACTGCAAATAGTAAGCACCGTTTGATATGTACGCGAACACTAAAATAACAACCCTCTTAGTGTTGCAGGACTTTTGTAGACTTGCCGTAGATTTTCTGAGAAGGGGTCCCAATTTGAAACTCTACACAACAGCAGCTCGTAAGTACAATTATGAACCACCCGTACTTTTCATTCACCAGTGTAATTGGGTAAAATTTCATTTTTTGTTCACAAGAGAAACTTCAGGTTGATGTGAATGTGATTCAACTTGCAGTTGAAGGGTTAGTCCAGCTGATGGTGAAAAGTAGACAGAACAATGTAAGTGCTTTACAAAATCATCATCCTAAATGAGCAGGACGGCATTATTAACGGTATTTTTCTGTTTCAAATTTAGCTCTCCACATCAGATTTTCGAGATTTAGTTTTGACATCTGGTTTCAATGAGGAACAAGAGCGCATTTTAAATGAGTTACACGATAGCAATAAGGCAGATGTGGATTTGGCTCTAACAACTTTTATGCCTTCCCTTTTGCACTATCATGATCTTGAATGGAGATTTGACGTTCAGGTATATTAAATTTCTACTTTTGATTTTCTGTTTAAAGACAGTGTATAATGACTAAAGTACATCTGTTTGGAATTTTTTCTAGGTTGCATCAAGATCTCTACTCAAGCAGACCATTCCAGCAGTGACCATTAAACTGACTTTGAAAGAAATACCTCAGGTCGAAGAAGAAACCAAATACAAACACCTATTGTTAGAGACAGACCCTAATAATTTGAAACACTTGATTCAAAAGTTAGATGAGGCATTGCTAGAGGCTTCCAGCCAACACAGTAGAAGATTGCAAAGAATATTCAAATGAAGGGCTAATAAATGTTTCCCCCACCATAAATTTGCCATATATATAAACTATTAATTTTATGTCAAGTTAATTTTTTTTGTAAATTAGAGAACATTTAGATAAGATTAAATTTTTATTAAAGATAACTTTTTCTGTCTTGCACATTAATTTAAAGAAGTCCTTCCATTTCTCGCATAAACTGCTGGTAAGCATCATCTTTGGTAACACCCTGCTGTGGTAGACCTTGAGCTTGCTGCCGGGCCATAGCAATATCCCCTCGCATATCTGAAAAGTTATCAAAATAATTAACTAAAATAGATAACAGAGAAAGACTAATGTGGAAATAATATTTCTTAGAATTATTGCCAAGGGATACCTGAAGAAATTCTGTGGGCTTTGACTGGTTTCTCATCCCGTTTCACTCGTAATGCAGTTGGTAGGAAACGAGTTACATCAGCACTTAAATTCCTAGAAAAGACAAAATTTAAGAGAGGAAAACTTGGTAGTAGTATCTCAAATAGCTAGAGGCATTTATTTAACTGACCTAATTTGAGGTTTGGCCTCTATTGTAGCACCGCCCTTCTTTGCTTCACTAGATTCCACTCTATTGATAAGCTGTGGTCCAGCAGACAGCACATTGGGTGTACCAAGAGGTAAGCCACCTGGCATGCCCGGCATTCCAGGCATCATGGACGGTGGCATACCCATAGGCACAGGCCCCCCCGGCATGCGGATGAGTCTTGGAGGCATGCCCGGCGGGGGGCCGGGGGGCAACCGCACGCCAAGGCGCGGGGGCAGTCCTGGGGGCGGGCCCGGAGGCAGTGCTGGCGGCCGGCCCGGGGGTGGGCCTGGGGGCACGCGGACCGAGCCCTGCAGTGGCGGTGGGCCAGGGGGGCGGAACACCATGTGTGGCAGGCTCATCAGCGGTGGAGGACCTGTTGACATCACGAACAAAAAAAAACCCATGCAAATAGTTACTTGTTATATGTAAAATTCTAACAATTAAATTTTAGACTAATGTTCCTTCATTTCTCTTCTACAAAAGTTTTGGTAACTTAAAATAATAAAATGTTAACAGGAAGTTTGTTTACCTGGCGGTATAGAGGACTGCTGGCCAGGAAGTATTGGAGGTGGTCCAGGTGGTGTCTTACCCTGTGAAGAAAAATGTGTCTTGAAATGAACATAAGATTCTTAAAAGGTAGAAAAAATGTAAGCAATATGACAACTTACTGGCACACCAGGGCCCTCATCAATGTAGTCTTGATCCTGATCTCTCCTTGAATCCTCCCCAGATTCAGCCAAAGCAGCAAGACGAGCATCTAAGTCAGCTTGTCTATCAGCCTCTCTCTTCCTGTGGACTTCCTCCATCTAGTAGTGAAAGACAGAAACTCAGAAGATATTAGCATAAAACTTAAGAAATAATCAAAGGGTACAACAATTAAAATATGCAGACCTCTCTCATGAACTGATCAATGTCTTGCCCTGCCATGGCCAACATTTTTTGTTGTAATGCTGTTGGTTGTGGCTTTGGTGTTGGGGCTAAAGTAATTTTGGATCGTTCTTCTCCCTCCTCAAACATACTGGAATGTGGCAATTCCTTTTCTAAAGGTTCCTCCCCAGGTGGCCTTTCTTCATAGTCATCTTCAAACCTAATTCGTCTACTGTTGATTGGTAATGGTGGAGCAGATGTGTCCATTGGTTCTGTTCAATAAAATGCAGAAGATTAAATACAAAAGGATGAGGAATATAAGAATTTAGTTATTGATTCATTTTTGAAAACAAACCTTCATCCTCTTCATCATCAGACAACTCAGGTGGAGGACCTGGGGGAACTCCAGGAGGCTTTTTGGGTTTCCGAGGTGGACTAGAAATAACAATTTGCAATATGAGAGCTGTACAAATTATTGTCATACACCAACCCTCTGACATAGATTAGATTAATAATATCATACCTGTAAGCAGACCTCTTACGAAGAATGCTAGGAGGTGGAGGAATGTGAGAAGGAATTTCTGCAGGTAATGGAATTTGCCCAGGTAAGCCTGCAGAGTCTGGCATTCCTCCTGTTAAAGAAATGGGAAGAGGAATTTCTTCTACTTGAACTTGTTGAGCATGCCTCACGGCTTCGTAATACTGGAGTAAGGCAGCTCGTCGCTTCTCATAGTCAGCCTCTTGAGTCTTGAGCTCTGCCCAACGCTCTGGATCATCTTTATCCTTGAACACAAGATTAAAACAATAGCTGTAATTGGAAAAACTACTGTTGCAGGCTATTATAAATTGTTTACAAAAGAAATTACAAAAGGATGATTGGCCCTCGAATATACTTACATACATCTTCAGTACTCTATCTAAAGTATCTTTCAGTTTTTTACGTTTATCTTTCAGAACCTTTTCATTGAGTGGCGAGGGCTGAAGAACATTGTATTCTGAAATAAAGTTTGCAGAGATGTATACTAAAAAGATAAACTCTAATTTCTAGACAAGAATATTTTATTTTATAATTCGTACCCATTTGATCAATGCGTTCCATCTCTTGAATTATTTGATACGGATCTTTTCCTTTCAGCACAGCTGCCCGTACCATCTGCCGTTGTCTCTTATTTTTCTTAAGCTCCTTTTTGCGGGCCTCTTTACCTTTATAAAACAAATTTCAAGCAAAAACAATGTCATCTAAGCCTCATAGAAGTGAGAAAAAAAGGGGAGGATAATAATCTAGTGAAAAGTATAAGTGCAAAATTATATGGCCAGTAAGGCCATTAGTTACATCAAAATTTGCAAAAACCTCTACTCTATCAGTACTATAATACTGATGAGAAGAGGTTAAACTTACGTGCTTGGTCTGTGGGGTTCATGTATTTCCCACTCTTGGTGGTGTTGATGGAACGTCGCCCCATCTTTAAAGTTAATTATTACCACGAAGCTAATACAAATCAAAGTTTTAAAAGGCTTCAAGAACTAGGCGAAGTGTTAAAAATTCTCGGCTAAACATTGGCATGCAAGACTCTCCATAGCTTTCAAAATCACAGAAAACTACCGAAAACGAAGGCCTCGAGTTGTTTTGTTTTTGTTTGTGTCTCTCCCTTTAGCCTTCCCTGCTTCGGCTGCGGCTTCGGCTCCTTCGGCCGCCTTCGGCTTTGAGGGAAGTAGAGAAGTAGAGAAAGTAGAGTTGTGGTGGGAGAAGCGGAGGGGGAGGGGGAGGGCCACTGGGGAAGGGGAGACGACAGACGACGGCGTCGGTCGGTTTGGGGTGGGTGTTGTGTTGAAGGGTGGTAGGGGTAGGGGTGGCGGCGTAGCATCAGCTCGTGGCTACGCTGCAGTGCGGAGTGCGGCGCATGACGCAAGTGCAGCTTCCTCATTTATTGTCAATTGTGACAATTGGAGGACCAGGAAAGTTTTTCTCTGCATCCGTTGGGATCCCCCTCTCGGGTGCAGCGGTATTTCAGTGTTCACGAAGAGTCCGTGATCATCGACGCCCTCTGCGAGGATTTCCCCTCTTATACATTTTGTGGTCATAGAGTGCATTGTTTGGTGTGTTGTTGTTTTGAATCCCAAGAATGACTTCAGCGCAAAGCATCACTCTTCCGCCCGACCCATCGGAAAGCTGGTGGCCGTATGTAGTGGCCACAATTGTTGCAATCATTTCAATGATTAGGTAATTCTCATAGATCTGAGAAAGAGAATTTTTTGTATGGTTTTTATATGGGTTCTCTGCTGATAGTGAGGATGCTACATGAATATGCTACATTTATATTTTTCATTTGTCTACTATAGGGCATACATGGGGGGAAAGACATATAAAAGTGACAAAACTCTTCAAGGAAAAGTTGTCATTGTAACTGGAGCAAATACTGGGATTGGATTTGAAGTAGCAAGTGACATGGCATTACGAGGTACAAATATGTAATATTTTTTGTGAAATACTAAATTGTTGCAAAGCTTAATCAAATGTATGAAACCACGACATTTATTCTTGGTATTTAAAGGTGCTCAAGTTGTTATGGCCTGCAGAAACATTAACTCAGCACAGGCCGCTGCAGCAAAAATTTTGAAGATATGCCCAGCAGCCCTCCTTGATGTGCAGGAATTAGATCTGGCATCATTACAGTCTGTTGTTGACTTTGTGCAAAAATTGAGTAAGTTGTCTCTATGTATAGAACATGTTCAATTAAATTTGGAAAGGGTGCTTTTTTTTAATGCATATATATTCTGTTGGCTCTTATTTGTGTATAATGTTCACCTGCTTCTACCTTCTAGCACACAGCAATGTTAACATTCTTATACTAAATGCTGGGGTTGTGTTTCACCCATTTGCCCTGACTGAAGATGGATTTGAAACACATTTTCAAGTCAACTATTTAGGTAAGGTTCTATGAATAATTTTTAAAAAAAGGAAAATAATGACAAATAGAACTTTGAATAACAGCTAATGAACCACCTTAGCCAGAACTTAAGCTATAAATTTCATTACAGGACATTTTCTTTTAACTCGGCTTCTTGTTTCAAGAATGTGCACAACTCCCGGAGCACGAGTTATTTCTATGACATCTCAATCTCATTTTGCTGCAGACATTTGTTTGCATGATTTAAATCTTCAGATAAATTACTCTGCAAGGAGGGCATATGGTCAAAGCAAACTTGCTCTCTTGCTCATGACTCGTTATTTGGGCTTGATGCTTCAAGGTGAAAACATTTCAACTGAACTCCCCTGTTTGTATTTCTAATCTCCTCTCCTTTTGGAGCTGCGTCTAAATGGAACTTGTGCTGTATTTCAGATACAAATGTCAACTTCTTGGCTGTAAACCCGGGTCTTGTCAGGGGAACAAAACATGTTTCAAGTTCGCCTGTTCTTAGAGAATCATTATTGATTGGATTAGCCATGCGTCCTCTCATGTGGATGTTTATGAAATCACCAAAGCAAGGAAGTCAGTCAGTGATCTATGCAGCCCTTGACCCTGAACTGGAAGAAATTCGAGGCGCTTACATTTGGTAAACCACTATAATGATAAAAAAAAAGTTGCTTAATTTTTTTACCTTTACTTAAATTCTCTCTCTCTTTTTTTAAAAAAAAAAAATTTTCAGTGACTGTGATGTAAGTGAACCATCCTCCTTGGCTACAGATAAAAAACTTGCAGCTGATCTCTTTGAACGGTCTTTGAGCTTAGTAGCTGCAAAAGCAATGGCAGCAGGGCTATCTCAGGTCTGGAAAACAGAAAATAATGGACTGTAGGTAAATAGTGTGACCACCAGATCTCATAAAATAAAAATATGTATATGAGCGTTTTTGTGCTCAATATTCTGTACACTCTAATTTCGTGTGATCTAACTTATTTTTAAATACCCAGGTAGCAGATATTTCAAGTTTTAAAATGCGTCTGGAATGTTTATCCGCTACTCTGCTTGCAATTTACTACCGTACTTGGGTGAACTTTCCATTCATTTTTTAAAGAGCTTTATACGCATATATTTATAAATTTATACTCTTAGGGTACAGCAATAGTTTGAATCCAATTATTTTGCTCTGTATCACATTCCATGTACCACATTTCTTTGACACAGAAATATTTTTATATCAGTGATTTAAAGAAAATTAGAGTGGTTGAAATAATTTTAAAGAAACTGGAAGGCCTATTTCTCCTTTTAATTACAATTCTAGTCTTTACCCAGGGTGTTACAAATTTTTAATTTATCTAATTTTTTGCAATCATTTTCTATCTTTCAATATGCTCAGTATTTAATAAGGTTACCAAAGACAATGAAGAGGTCCCACATTGTTTGGAAAAGATTTTATACAAAATATATATTGCCATTATTTTGTACTGTATTTATTACATTATTTAAAAAAAATTCTAGCTTAGAGATAGATGATGCAAAGAATTTGAGGTCTCCTTGGAATATTTCCATTATTAGAAGAGTAGAGGTTTGCAAATAGTGTATGTGAAGTTGCCAACAGCGTGTTTGTGCCATTCAGAAGACTAGCATTTTGGATGCAAATTAATGACCACCATCATGAGCCGCCATACGTGGGTGTGTCAATAAAAATTCTTGTGTTGTATATGTTTTTCGGTGTTGTACTGACTTAAACAAACTGACAATGAGCCGCAAGTGTGTTCGTGTTAACTTATGATTGATGTTTTAGTATTCAGCTGTAATGAGTTGAGGTTGAGGTGCCTAGGAGGTGCATGAGTAAGATGAGACCTGTGATGTATTTTCAGCACCCTCTAATTGCTTCCATCTTTTCTATTGCACTAATGTGCACTACTTTTATACTTTTAGCCCCTTATGACAAGAGAGTTGTTGTATTGTCAATGCCAAAGTTTCCATTAAACAAGTTTTCAAATTACAAAGTATTTACATATTGAGCAAAACATCCACTCCCACAACAACTGAGTTTTGGAAGTATGAATACGCAGTTTCCATCCATTCTCTTTTATTTGAACAAAAAATTGTATTAGGATAAAGAAATACACAAGTTTTAAAAGTTTAAGTCATCCAGCTAACTGTAACATTGACAAGAGGTACCCTCAAAACAGTTGTAGATGAAACAGTTACAGGTATTGGTATTGATAATTATCAGTGACACTGACACATTACATTAAAATTATCTCTAAGCACTTGCTTGGCTTGCAACATTGTTTCCTTTCCTTTTTAAAAAAAAGATAACATACATATTCATTTAACTGAACCAGGCTCAACATTTTCAGGTAATGAATCAGCACACAGCTCTTGATTTTGAGGATTAGCCTCCATTACTTTCTCTAACTGTGCATTGCCTGTTTGTATTTGATCATGCTTCACAAACACTAGCTTTGATGCTCCATCAGGTGACACTATGCGCAAGATTTTAAGACCAGGAGCAATAACATTCTTTAAGCCGGGAATTATATGAATTGGGGTATTCCCTGAATTCAGAGAATTTACAGCAAGTGGCATAGCGGTGCTAAAGTTCATCTTACCCAACTGATTCTGATTAAGTATTACACCACCACTAGCAACTTGACCTCTGACAATTGTTGGTGACCCAGTTACACCAATTAAGTTTGTGGAAGTGGTACTACTTATTATTGATGAGGGTGTGACATCCAATGGAATTGTAGTGGGGCTTGTTTCAGTTACATTCGGCGTAGCATTTACATTGGAAACAACAGACACATCTTTTTCTTTGGCAGCAACTGCTACTTTGGTGCGCGCAATTGCTTCAGATATACTCTCAGTACGTGCAGGTGGTAAAGAGGCAGGCGGAGGGAGGCCACTGGCAAGGGCAACTTCTGTTGCTTCTTTGATTTGAGCTAGTTGTTCTTGATGCATTCTTTTCCGATGGGTGTAGTAGTTACCAGAGCTTGCAAACCGTTTTGGGCAGAATTGGCAAGCATAGGGAAGTTCACCAGTGTGCTGATTAAGATGCATCTGAAATTAACCGTTTATCACTTAACATTCAAAGGGATAGAAGTACATAATACTGACTACATTCTTAATCACTTCCTTACTTTTAATGTTCCTGGAAGCTTGAAAGACTTTTCACAAACTGGACATTTGTGTGGCTTTTCATCCGAATGGTTCACAAGATGTGCTTTCCAGGAGGAACGAACTGAATAAGTCTTGTCACAGAATTGACATTTGAATATCTGACCTTTGTGCTGCCGCATGTGCGTCTTCAAAATTGATGGACCTTTGAACCTAGATAGAGACATAGATAAATGAAAGACTTACACCAACAACAGCAAATATAGTGGATATTTTGATGTTAAAGAAATTCTGATATAACAACCATTTCCCACACTCCAGGCATTGTACACGCTTCACATTTCCATGAATCTGCTCTTTATGGCGATCCAAGTCAGATCGACTTTTGAAACTTTTGGGACAAAGATCACAAAGATGAGGACGATAATTTTCATGCACTCGTTGTTTATGCAATGCTAAAGCAGCATCATAACAAAACCTGAAAAATTGTAAATTTTAGAGCAATTGGCCGGAAATATTTAAGGTAATAGTTTGAAATTCTAATACAGATTTACTTTTTGAATGTGACTTATTAGATACCAACCTGCTACCACAAATATCACAAGTGAGAGAGTATCTTTGATCATCAGGCAAATGCTGACGTTCATGGTTTGATAGATCTGATTTAGTAACAAATCCTCTTTCACACTGATTACACTGATATGGACGCTCTGAATCTGGCAAATGCAATAAAATGTGACTCCTAAAACTTTGATGAGATGACAGTTGTTTGCCACATATATTACACCTGTGTGAGGTAATAATTCATGTTAGAAAAATCCCATTGTTCACATACTTGTAAAGGCTACAGATGTTTTAAGATACACAGATTATTTGGCATACTTGAAAATAGATCCTGGCTGAGTGTGAAGAAGCATATGCCTTTCAGCGCGTTTCCTATCTCGCATAGTGGAGTTGCAGCATTTAACATAGCCACGCTCATTGTGCTCCTTTTGCATGTGTTCACTTAGATCATCAAATGACTGATATTTAAGTGGCTCCTCTGGCAAAGCATTCTCACGATATTTCTTCACACACAAATCACAGGTAATGCCATAGAATTCAACAAATTTAGTATGCATCTCTAATCTTAACATTTTACGGAGACCTGGAGGCGTTTTTGGTTTGGGTTCTGTCCCGTGGGTGGCAGTAATACGAATTTTTGCTGTAATAAGTAAAGAATAAATACATTGTATTTTAAATGCAAAATAGAAATAGAAAAGTTGAGTTTAACAAATTACCTTTTCTTTTATCGGGCTCAAGAGCACTGTTTTCATTTTCAAAGAAGCTACTGTTCTCTAACAGATCATCAACAGCTTTGTTAGTTTCTGAATTTGTATTCTTTCTTTTGATTGCCTTAGAACTACGTACAGACTGTGGTGGCTTCCATGTGTGATCATCATCAGAATCTATATCAAAATTGAATCCTTGACCAACCCAGTCCTGGTCCTGTAGCAATGAAGGTAAAATGTAAATTGACAGGAATTTATAACAATTAACTTTGTGGTCTTATGTTCTAGTAGTACCTCTAGTGAACTTGAATCATCATCCTTACAAAGAGTATTTGGAGTAGGATTAATTCCTGTATCTGATACAGCTGACTCTTCAGTAGTCTCAGTTTTTATAATAATAGTGTCACTACTTTCAGTTACATCATTTACATTTTTGATTGGGACTGTATCATTCCTCTTACAATCGTTTATATGATTTGCATCTGATTCTTTACATTGAGAGTCTATCTCTATTTTGCTTGCTTTCACATTCTTGTGTTTTGCAACTCGGCTTCTGGTGGATGGTGTAACAGATTTTTTTGAATGTACTTTTTTCCCTCTTTTAAAGCCCAAGGTTGACTCAATTAGATCTGCATCTAATACAATGGGAGTACTCATTTCATCCTCATCAGTTGTTAGTAAGCTCTTAAGATGTTCTTGAATTTGAAACACGGTGCAAGAAAACCTGTCAAAAGACTCAACTGTTTCTTTACAAAATTTGCAAATCCATATTGAACTCTCATCTGCCGCAGACACCTATAAGAAAGAAGAAGGTTCGAAAATAATACAAATTTGGGACACGGTGAGTTATAACTCTAAGAGAACATAACCTCCCAATCAATTAAAAACTGCCAACTAACAATTTTATCACGTTGCTACCATACATGAAATTAACAAGATTATTAAAATTAACCGTACCATGATAGAAAGGTGTTTTGATATTTTATCAATCAAGTCTGTCGATTTTTTGGAGGAGCCCACAATTTCAATATTGTCTTTATTTTGAAAAAGGCAGAGGCGGCAAGTAGATATGGGCAGAATACTCTTTAAGCGATTCGCCGAGTTCTTGAGGGTCTCTGTCTCTGACTCCATGACAGATAATTTGTTTGTAATAAAAGTATTATTTTTTGCTTTTAAAAGAAATACTTGCACCGAGAACACAACCTCAAATTCGACGTTGGTTTGGCTTTCGCTTCACCCTCCCACCCTCCCTTTACCTGTCCACAAAAACACGAACACGAAAACGAAAGGTTTCACACTTAACTCGATTTTGGTACAGAACACATAAAATCAAGGAAAACGAACAATTGCTTCAATAAAACTTTCTTTGTGATAATCAAAAATCTAATACACCAGCATCAACATCAAATTAGATACGATGTAAGCTTTATTAGTTGGTACTCCATACCGAACACCAACACCATCTATCGGGCCTTTGCACAGTTAGCGTTTTGTTGTTTATGTAAAAAAAAAATATATGTAAGAGAATGGTGTCATCGTAAGTCAACAGAAAACATTGATATTGAGGGTTATTGATACTATGAGGACGAATGTGAGTTCTGTGGGACTTGGTAACTCTTATTGTGGTACGCTCGCCTCCAAGACGTGTACCGACTAGATGATTGTTAGGGAAGACCATATATTACAAATGTGCGACGCCTATCGCTCTCTAACCTGCTTTGCGATCGTATCTTGAAGCAGGTGTCAAACTGGAAGTCTCTGTAAGTAATTTTAAATTCAACAAAAACATCTTCTTTTTCAACATCTCTTTAGAAAGATAACATACTAGTTTTCTTGTGGATATTTTAAAGAATAACTAGAGGTCCACAAGAGCGTGATTATAAATTTGCCTTCTTCCGTATTGAAATACGGATCTTTATTTTGATAGTCCCGATTTTAAAACCACGCTCACCACATATGCAGCATCTGATGCTTTGATCTAGAACACTGCATTGATCGAAGCTCGACTCGAACCTCTACGCCCCTTTGTCGTCAGAGGGAATTCCATGCCCCACTTTGCTGGAATGTTTCATTCCCACGCTCGTCATTTTGAGAAAAGCAAAAGATCAAGCGCGTTGATTGTGCTAAAGTTGCTTGCGTCGAGCTCTGAATCTCTACTAAAATGCTCAATAAAGCTTCAAAATTGCCTCCGCCATCGGCGCGCGCTTCTCTGACTATGGCGCCGGTTATCCAATTTCGCCTTGCGGCAAAGGCAGAGGGAGGGAGGCGCGCGCCGGCTACGCGAAGTGTCCTTGCCACTTGACTGCCAGCGCTGGAGAGGGAAGAACATTCATTGGAGGCATTAAGGCATTACAAAAGAGGGGTGGGGAGGGGCGGATTCACTCGTTCATTTTTGTTATTGTTGTTGCTTATCTAATCGAAGTCTTCCCTTCCATTCCCCACCCCGTTCCAGAAGTCAGACGACGACGGCGACACCATGCAGCAGGAGCTGCCATCCAGGCCGCGCCCGAGCTTGATGCTCGGTCCCGAGCCCAAGCACCTTGCCCCCGACGACGAGGATGACGCACTAGTTTTCCTGAGGCAGGCCCTTCGGCACGCGACCGAGCACCTCAACGAACCAGAGGACGAGGAGACTCGCAAGGCAGCCGTGGAGGAGCTGCGTGTATGGGCGCTGGACCAGCCGCACCTGAATGCTCGCACCGGTCAGTGCCGTAAAGCCATAAAGCTGCTCCAATTACAACATAGTCAGACCATCAATCACTTTTCTTCACTCCTATACACTTTCATGCTGCCTGCTGTGCTTTGAGAAGAGGCATGGGCTGGTTGGGTTCTACGTCAAAACAGAAATACTGATTCTGTGATTTTTTTTTTTTCTTCAGATGAGTGGAGTCTGACCTGCTTTCTCAGAGGCTGCAAATACAAACAAGACAGGGCTCGCAAAAAGATGACCAATTACTATGAGATCAGAAGCAAAGTGCCTGAGTGGTTTCATCAGAGAGATCCCACATTACCATCCTTGTTAGACCTTTTAAAACTTGGGTGAGTCTATGATATTTTCCTATAATTAATTGCTCAAGACTGTACTTTGTTTAATTTTAAATGTTTCTTGCAGAGTATTTTTACCATTACTTCGAAAAGATGAGGAAGGCAGGACTGTGGTTTTGATTAGAGCCGTTATTCATGACCCATACAAGCATAAGCTCTCAGATGTTTTCAAAATAGGGAAAATGCTTGTTGATCTTTTACTTGAAACTGATGAAATAATTTCCATCTATGGGGTTTTTGCTGTCATTGATTTGAGTGGCGTATCACTGGGTCATGCCCTACAACTTACACCACCTGTTATTAAGAAAGCAGTACATGCCTGGCAGGTGTGAAATCAAGTCAGCTCTTTTGTTGATAAAACATCATTATATAATTTCAATTGTGAAATGTTTCAATTTAATTTCATGTTTTTTAAGGATTGCTATCCAGTGCGAACAAGGAGCATGGACTTCATTAATGCACCTATCTATGTTAATGTTGTGCTAAATATCTTCAGAAAGTTCATGAATGACAAATTAAAGAGGAGAGTAAGTTCCTACTGCTGATTGAATATCATCCCGATAAAATTATTTACAAAGCACATTGAAATTAACTAATCCAAACTTAATGGTTCAGGTTCATGTGCATGGTAAAAGCCTCAATTCACTTCACAAAGTTGTGTCCCCTTCAATCCTTCCAGAGGAGTATGGTGGTACCTGCGGAACTCTGCAAGAACTCAGAGGTTAGTCAAAAACAAAGTTGTATAAATTCGGGTTACCTGTGTTACCTTAAGTCAGAAATGAAAACCTTTACCCCTCTTATTTCCCAGATTACTGGCTTGAACAAGCAGTAAGTAAACGTCTTTGGTTCCTTGAAAATGAAAAGCACAAAGCCGATTTTGGAAATACTGCTAACCCAGATTGAAAAGTAGCACATAGTTACTGAAACTGCACAAATTATTGCCAAAGTAATGACTAAACAACTAGTTAGTCAATAGAGCTTTGACAATGCGCACAAAGTCAAGACAACTTCAAGCAATGTTATTTCAGTTCAAGAAGAGAACTAAACATGAACATTCTTGTCTTACTACTTTTTTTACAAATGTGTTCATTTATTCATTCCATGACCAAATAAGGGAATCCATACCAAAATCCACTTGTCAAGTTCTAATTTGATCTTAAAAGCAATAGACCACTGCTGTTGAGATGAAAGTTGATACATTTACTTATACGAAAAATCCTAGGTAGTATTTAAATGTGATATTGTTTTCTTTT